AAAAAAGAGAGAAAGGTCCCTGCCCTGTGCCTACATACAAAAAATACACAGAGAATATATGTAATGAGAGTAAAGAGTACGCATGGAACCCTTCGCCTCTTGAGATCTGGCAATGAGTGCTCGCACAATGTAACCAAAACCTTAGACATCCACTGCTGTGACCAGCACTGTTCTGGCCCAGGGAACATTTCTCTATATGTATTGCCCTCTGTCCTTGGAATAGAAGGTGACCACAATTGCATACAGTCAAAGTTTTGTGTATTGTGACACTGCCAATGGAGGAGATGGACACTTCTTAGAGCCTAGGAGAAACTACAGTGGCAGAGCCACTTCAGCAGGAGAAAAGATCAGTTAACCAATGTGTCAAATTCTTCCTCTCAGTTTAATGCAAAAGATTCTTGCACAACAAACTATCATTCCCAATATTACCAAACATCTACTTTCATTATATTCCAACCAGTGCTTCTGAAAGCTCTCACAGATTAGAATAATATTTGCAAGAGTTTTGCAGGGCTGAGAAAAACTTTGCAATATCAAGTGTTATGGGTTGAACCATGTCCTCCCCAAATATGTATCTTGAAGTCCTAATTTCCAAGCACCTCCGAATGTGACCTGATTTGGAAATAGGTCTTTACAGAGGTCATCAAGTTAAAATGAGGTCATCACGGTGGATCCCAATACAATATGACTGGTGTCCTGATAAAAAGGGGAAATTGAGGGCTGCACATGTAGGAAGACTACCATAGTGAACACCAAGGCAGAGGCTGGGGAGATGCATCTATAAGCCAATGAATACGGAAAAATTCTGACACACTTCTAGAAAAGAGAAATCATTCCTCATAGCCATAAGAAGGAACCAACCCCATGAACACATTGATCTCATACTTCTAGCCTCCAGAACTATGAGATACTAAATTTCTATTGTTTTTGCCATGCAGCTTGTGATACTTTCCAGCAGCCCAAGAAAATTAACACATTAAACAATTCAGATTATTCTTAAATTTGTATAAACCTAGGATAAAGTATGAAGTATGATATTGATTTATATGATTAAATTATAATATTATGTAATATATTCTACAATAATGATTGTCATATATGATCCCATTTCCGTGTTTGAACATGACATGTATGATTCTTAGTTCATTTCCAAATTTAAGTATCACTTTAGGAGTTTTATTGATAACTATAGTTGCCACTGGCTCTGGGGAGTGAAGTTTCTCCAAATCAAAATTAGTTTTACAATGTAAGAGTTACAGCTGGGCATGGTGGCTGGCACCTGTAGTCCCAGCTACTTGGGAGGCTAAGTTGGGAGGACTGCTTGAATGCAGAGGCAGGGGTTGCAGTGAGCCAAGGTCATGCCACTGCACTCCAGCCTAGATGACAGAGAGAGACCCTGTCAAAAAAAAAAAAAAAAAGGAAGAATGACAAGGACTTACGAAATTTGTTCAGGCCAGGTGCAGTACTTCATGCCTGTAATCCCAGCACTTTGGGAGACCAAGGGAGGTGGGTTGCTTGAGGCCAGGAGTTCAAGACCAGCCCGGCCAACATGGAGAAACCCCATCTTTGTAAAACACACAAAAATGTGCCAGGCACGGAAGTGCATGCTTGTGGTCCCAGTTACTCAGAAGGCTGAGGTGAGAGGATGGCTTGAGCCCAGTAGGCAGACGTTGTGGTGGCCCAAGATCATACGCCACTGCGCTCCAGCCTGGGTGATACAGCCAGACCTTGTCAAAAAAAAAAAAAAAAGGAAAAGAAAAAGAAAAAGAAAAAGAAATTTGTCTAATTTAGCAGTTATCAATAGAATATACACTGTAAAAATCTTGCATAAAACTACTTAGGTAGTCATTTACCTGAAAGGAAGGCAAACAAATTTTTATGGAACTAATATATAACAATCTATGAATTATATATAATATCTTTGGCCCATGAACAAAACATCCAGACATGTATAATAATGATCAAAATAGCCATTTTTGGTAGTTCCTGGCTCTTAATCATTTAAAACACCCCATAACTTTCTATGTATTTTAAAATTGTATCGTTAAAAAGGTATATTTGACACTGTGGGAGGATAGGACATATTTTATTCAACAATTTTGCTAGCTTGATTTGTAACTTTTAAATATTTAGGTATATGGTATGTGAACTTCCACTTGTACTCATGCCCCAGGTCCTATAATTGTTAGGGGTAGGCCAGGACCCAGCAATGACAGAAGAAATGAAGCCTAAATCTATGAATGGAAACCAAACTAAAATATCAAACTTCTTGCTACTATAAACTAAAATATCATTCTGAAAGCTTCATGTGGAAGCCTGATGCAGTCCCTCAGAGCAAGTGACAAGCACCTTCCTGGGCCATAGTCCCAAGGGTCCCTACAAGCCCTTCCCAGGCAGGAGTTGTGTAGTTCTATTGCCTCAGTGGACCTCAGCTCTCACCAGGTTTCATATGCCTAATGCATTTCACAGTCCTTACGTTCTGAATGTTAGAATTGGGTCATAGATGCTCCTTTTATTTCTTTTGCAGTAACTCTATGCCACTTTCAAATAAACAGAGCAATTTACAATGGTATTTCACTCCTCTTTTGGAAATAGTAGTGTACAATTTGACAAACAACCTTCAGAGGGACCTCAATGTTGTGATATTCCCTATGGCTATCATTTTGTTATCTTCTGCCTGTCCCCTTGGAGAGAGGGTTGGCTGCCTATTGAGGGCTACTCCGAGGCTAGGGATGGGAACCAGCATTCTTTTTGGGAGTTAGTCTCAGGAAGTGAAGAACTCCTAGAGAAAGGGGAAGTGGTGGCAATTAAGAGAAGAGATAAAGAGCAGGATGCATCACTGGGAAAGGAAAAAAAAAAAAAAGGTACCAAAATGCCAACTAGGAATGCCAAAAACAGAATGGAAATGTAACTGCAAAAGGTCCCATGGAATTTCTAATTTGAATTGCATTTTATTGTAACTCCCTGCAAGCAAACATGGTAACTGTACATTTCACACAATTACTGACTAATGTAATAGATAATCTGACAGCCAATATAAAACATGGATGCCTGACATCAAAGGATACTTTTAGCTGTGGTTGAGCATCTTTAAGGAACTTCAATACCCTCTGCATAGATATCGGTTCACAACAGCGGTATAAAATCTTTGTATAAAATTAAAAACCACGAGAGACCTAGACTGGGTTCATCAGAAAGACAGCAGTGAAGAATGAAAACTTCAAGAAGAACATAGAAGGGTATAATCATAATTTTGATAATAAAAAGAACTCTAATGTAAATACAACAGGCTGAAAGTCAACAACACAGTACTTAATAGTAAAGGCAGATTAGTGAACCACATTAATCAGCCTGCGATATAGATTATCAGCCACATTTGAAACACAGATTAATAGGAACAAATAAGGTACCAGGGTGGGAGACATTTTTACAAGTAACAAAAGTTTTAATCTTTGTTTAACTAAGACTTCAAAAGGATTCCACATATAACCAATGGTGAGACCATTAAAAAAAAACAAACAAACAGATTAGCATCAAGAAATGCAAGGCAGAGTGACCAAATTTCTGACCTGTTTTAAGATCAATCAGCATTTTCTACCTGGGCAAGTAGAATGCAATTAGCACTTGAGTGATTTTAAAGACTCTTTTACAGTTGCCTTTAACTAGCTGATGAAATAGCAGAACCGTGTGGCTGAAGGCCAATGTTTATTTTTACCCATTACCTATTTCATTAATGGGATTGTGGGCCACTGGCCCTCCAGGCACACATGAATGTATTAAAATACTCCACACTGTAATTAAGTGGCACAGAGGGGATTGGAGCAAATTAAGTGGCTGTTATATTTCCACGGGTGTAGTCTAGATCAGACATTTGGATGCTCTTGTGGCAGAGCCACAAAAATTGTATTTCAAAAGTCTTCAAAAGTCTTCAAAAGTCTACAGGGTATTGAGGATATTTTTTTGTAGAGTAAGAGTTTTAATAAGTGAGTCCTTCCCCCAAAATAAAAATATAGATAAAGAAAAGTGCCCCAAGTAGATACTCTTAAAGTGAAAGATGAGAATCCTTTAACTAGAACAAGGACAAATGCATCAACAATAGCATCGGTGAAAGAAATTGGACCTTTAGACTCCATTAACAAGGGACTCAAAATGAATCAAACTTCCATGCAACTCTCAATCCAAGCTTGGGACTTTCCTTCCCAGTGTAAGTTAGAACTTCTGTATTTTTTATCTTATCTTATCTTATCTCATCTTATCTATGTAGAGGCAGAGTCTCGCTCTGTCGCCCAGGCTGGAGTGCAGTGGTGCGATCTCGGCTCACTGCAAGCTCCTCCTCCCGGGTTCACTCCATTCTCCTGCTTCAGCCTCCCGAGTAGCTGGGACTACAGGTGCCTGCCACCACGCCCGGCTAATTTTTTGTATTTTTAGTAGAGACAGGGTTTCACCGTGTTAGCTAGGATGGTCTTGGTCTCCTGACCTCGTGATCTGCCCGCTTTGGCCTCCCAAAGTGCTGGGATTACAGGTGTGAGCCACCGCGCCCGGCCAGAACTTCTGCTTTTGAGTTTTTTAAAGGGAATAAAAAAATAAAGTGATTACCTAATTGCTGCCCCGATCAACAATGAATGCATCAAAAATGCTTGCAGAAACAAAGACCGCGAGAGTAAAGGTTCCTATGCCAGCACAATATCATTTTTTTGTTTGATTTTACCAAATCAATCCATTGCTGCCACTAAATGTTAGATTCCTTCTAAAATAGTAAATGGAAGATTTTTGCTTTGATCATTCAAAATCAACATTACTACACTTGAGAATTCTGCCAATGGTGGTCTCCTGTGAATCTTTAGAGCAGAGAACAAGCAAAATGGAATGAGGGCAGGGCAAAATGGAATGACATCTGGAAACACAGTGTTTTGGCTCAAGAAGAGGACAACATTGCCTTTGCCCTAGAAAACCATGGAGAAATACTTGGAAAGGACAAGAAAGGAGATAAAAGTACTTACGAGTATCCTGGACTTGCAGTGGGAGGGGGGCCTGAAGAAATGAAAGACAAACAAAAGAAACAGTCAGTCTGGGTTATTGGAGGGTGAGTATGGATACAGTCAATCATTACAAATTAAAGTTCTCAACCACCCAGAGGTAGTATTTATTTTTCTGAAATTTATTGTTTTGCTCTATTCCCCCAACCATCTCTATGGAAAAAAAAAAAAAAAAAAAAACCAAACCAAACAAAACAAAAAAACATACCAGTGAGAACATGTCTACGTCTCACAATTCAGGGCCTGAAAATGCTGAGACAAGTGCTCGAAAGTGAGTGAATCGAGTAAGCATCCTCAAACTATTCAGGAAGTTTCCAATGGGCTGAGTGGTTGCATGAAGGTGTTGATTGCAACAGTGAGTGGGGCTTCCTTCTAGTTCTTGATGGCAGGAAAAGGACTATGTACGCTGCAAACATTTCCAGCTTCTTGGACAAGGAGTATCCTTGTTGAAAAGAGCTCAATGGCACGATGGTTTCAAGTAGGGGCTGTGAGGTCAGAAAGATCTGGACCTCCTTCCTGCTCTGCTTTTTATTAGCTGGGTAACATGGTAATTGGGTAACATGGTAACTAACTGCTGGGCATTGGTTTACTTATGTGTAAAATGGGTACAACTGTACCAGGTTTAGGGTTGTGGGCACAGAGTACATTCTCACTAAGTGTGCATTCCTTCCTTCCTGTCCCTGTGGACTCTAGCCATCCTATCACATTGGGCTGAGGGCCAAAGTCCATCCCCAGTAGGGGTCTGCTTACCAAACTTGACAAACAAGACTCCAGTGGAAGAAACCACCTCCTTGCCGTTTGTTGCCACACACTGGAAGTAGCCTGTGTCTGTGGTGTCGAGGTTTCTAATCCGCAGCCGAGAGCCATAGATGGTGGATCGAAAGGAGAGCCTCCGGGGCTCCTGGACCACAGGAGCATCATTTTTGAACCAGCGGATGGTGGGAGGTGGATTCCCAGAGACTTTGCAGTGCAGTTCTGCTGTCTGGCCCAGGGATGTGGTGATGTTATTCATTGGTTCATCAAGGGTCAGGTAAGAATCTGTGAACACAGAGAGGAGGCAGGTGAGAGTGGCAGATGGCTTGAGAATGCTTCCAAGCAGCCAAATCCTCTCCAGTGTATCCTCGGGATCACAGAGAGGCTGAGCAGGAGAGGCAGGTGAGACAAACAAGGAAAGAAACAATCACACTGACTAAGACCACAGGACTGCTAAATAACCACCCATAGAGCCTGCTGCTTGGAAGAAAATTTGTCACTAATCAGAGTATAAAACTCAAAGTCTCCAAATGACTACATGGATGAGCTTTTGTGCTTCAGATCATAAAAAACATATACATTCCTTGTTCCAAATTCCAACACAGCAAAAGAGAGAGAAAATAAAGTTCATCTCAAATCTCCCCACCCAAAAATAACACCATTTTAAACATCCTGGCAAGCATCCTTCCAGTTTCCTCACTTTTGATAAGAAAGAAAGCATCAAACATTGGAAAAGTAGGAGCAACACATTCATATCCACATGGCACACGATCAGAAAGGATGCCTGAAACTTTCATGTTACTGACAACATAAGGTTATGAAGGCCAGGTCAGAGGCAGACAGAGCAATAAAGCAATGGACATTTCCATAATATTACTCATATCAACCATAACATGTTACAATATGTAATTCTTTCAATCACATATATATAGATTAATTCATATATAATACTGTGCAATATACAGATCTTAGTTATACAGTTCCATGAGTACAGGCAAATGCATACACCCATGTAACAAATATCCCTATCAAGATAGAACATTTACACCCCAGAAAGTACCCCCACAATCTTTTGTAGTTGGTCCCTGCTCCCAACCACTCCCTCCCACCCCACCTCAAAGCAACTAAGGTTCTAATTTCTATTACCATAGGTTAATTTTGCCTGTTTCAGAACTTCATATAAATGGAATCATGCTACACGTACATTTTACATTTGGCTCCTCTTAAGATTCATTGCATTATAAATTTTAATAACAAAATCAGTTTTATTTAAGCTTATTTTTCAATAAAGTATTTAAACATCAATATTAATATTAGCTGTAGAAATCAGTTGCAGAGAAAATAATGTATTTCTTTTTTTTTTTTTTTTTTTTTTTGAGACGGAGTCTTGCTCCATCGCCCACGCTGGAGTGCAGTGGCCGGATCTCAGCTCACTGCAAGCTCCGCCTCCCGGGTTTACGCCATTCTCCTGCCTCAGCCTCCCGAGTAGCTGGGACTACAGGCGCCCGCCACCTCGCCCAGCTAGTTTTTTTGTACTATTTAGTAGAGACGGGGTTTGGACGTGTTAGCCAGGATGGTCTCGATCTCCTGACCTCGTGATCCGCACGTCTCGGCCTCCCAAAGTGCTGGGATTACAGGCTTTAGCCACTGCGCCCGGCCTGAAAACTGAATTTGTAAATTTAAATAACCACATGTGGCTAGTGGCTACTGTACTGGACAGCACAGGTAGAACACAGCAAATTTGTTAAATTTAATGGAAGTTTATTGAAAAGTAACATTTTTCTGAGCTATTTAACTGGGTAATTTAATTGCCCAAATGTCTGTAAAAGGAGTTCATAAATGCTAAAAATAATTGATTCATTATTTGCTCTAATTTTTCCCCCCAAATTCAGAAGAAACATTGTTAACGTCTGGGCTGCCTCACAGGGGTGTGTCTCACATATGAATGGCATTTATCACGTGTGCAGTAGGAAAGAGATTAAGCATGATGCCTGCATTACCATAATGACACTTTCCATCTCACTTAAGCCAATGAATAATTATCCTTCACAACAGATTCATGAGCCCATAAATGATCTTGCTAATGCTTTCCTTCCTAACATTTATATTTTGATCTCTATCTCTGGGCATGTTTCTCTAATCTATACACATCTATACTCAATCCACAAATGTGTTTGCTCATGGATATAAGCACATATGTTCCTAAGATGTTTGAGGTATGCCCAGAAAGGAGGGAGACTAATTAGCAGATGGCTCTATGGAGCCATTATCATGCCTTTATAGCCTCATATCATTCATTGAGAATAGATAACTATGTACCCTCTGTGGAGAGAAGCTTAGAGATAGCAATCACATAACAATGCCACTATAAGCCTAGTGATTAATACTCCATTGGACAGGTTCTGGAATTTGATTGGCTGGGTTTGAATTCAGGTCAGCCCCTTGCCTATCTGTGTGACTTTGGGCAAGTTACTTAACCTCGTTGTACTTCAGTTCAACCAACTGAAAAACCAGAACAATAAACAGGGCTCCATCTGAGGGAACCGTTAGAATAGGATTAAAATGAAAGTGGGTGACATCTGGGAAGCACTTCAACCAGTGTTTGGTAAAAAGTAAGCACTCAAAAACGTTAATTAATGTTATTACTATTGTTTTTATAACAATAACTTCTATATTCTGCTTTTCACATTACAAAATGTTTTCACAGCCTCTGTCTCCTGTTATCCTGTAACAATCTAGAGAAGTAAGAAAGGCACATTAATTACTATGATTTCCAGTGCAGATGAGGAAGTCATGTCTCAGAGATTAGCAGACTTGCCCCATGGTTACACAGGAAACTGCCCAAAGCTTCCATCACTAATGGCCTTTAATCCTCAGGCTCAGCCAAGCACCTAAAGAGAGTCCATTTGAGGCAGCTGGCCAGTTCTGGACCAATAATGGACTATTTTGAAATCCTACTATATGCTAGGGCTTTACTTTAATATTCACCTGTATGCTAACCTTGCAAGGGAGAAGTCATTATCACTGTTTTACAATGAAGAAAGCTAGGATCAGAGAGGTTTAGTGACTTGCCGGAGGCCTTGTAGCAGAACTGGGGTCCAATTTACATCTCTGTGGCTGCCAAGCCCAACTCTTTTCACTCCACCGGACTGCTTTGGTACCATGAGACCCATTGAGGGCTGGGATTTGGTGCCACGAGACCCTTTGAGTGTTGGAATATCTCCCTAAACCTAGGTGGGCCGTGGACATGCATATACCCACAGGGCTGTGCTCTTCCCCTAACTGCAGCCAAGCCTGTCTGGTTAATGGGCCTAAGCTTTAGCCATGGGTGCTAGCTGATGTTCTTTCTGGTTTCCCTCCAGAGGCCAGGCACCTCACCTGATCTGCTCTATAAAATATCTATCTAAAAACAAACATGAGGGTTGCAGGGCACCTTGAAATCAGTGTAGTAGATGACCCAAGCAGTGTGTTTCCAGAGAAAACAAAAGAAATGTAAATAGATCTTTGTGTTTACTGAACAAAGGAGCCTTGCCACAAACAGGGAATTTGGTTTTAACTCTTCGCTGACAAAGAAGAAGGTTCAAATTTGTCGGCCATCTGTAGCTGCTTACTTAGTAAGCAGAACTAACAGATAGTCTGGTCCTCAGTTTGGCAAAGACCAGAAGCATCAGAACAGTCTTTTGCCTAAAGAACACAAAAGCATTCTGCGACTGAAATAAAATCAAACAAAAATGCGTTTCTGTTACTGACTGCTATTTTTCCTGTTGTGAACAAGCCTCTGGCCATGATCCATTTTCTTCTCAGAACCAGCTGGGTCCTTCTGTGGTAGCCCTCATGGACCATGTTAGGGGACCCATTCTCTCTCTACACCCAAAGCTTGAGGTGACCACTGCTGGTTCTGGACTAGTCATTCCCTTCAGAGAACACCTGGGCATCCCAGCAAAGGTGTCCGGTCCAGAGGGAATACACACTGGACTCATGTAGCAGTTCTGCCACTCACTAGCGATGTGTGTCAGGCCATCACTTTGCCTCCCTGGGCTTTGGAATCACAATCTAGGCCTTTGGGATTGGGTCTGCTTCTTCTGAGACAGTTTGTGTTTCTATATGGGCAGCTGCAGAACAACTGGATGATAGGCAGCAGGTGTCCAGTGAGCTTGAATGCCAGACAAAGCAATCTGGCTTCTATGTATAAACCTGGCTGTTTGTACCTTTGTCAGTGATTTGATTCAGTAGCTCTGATGATATGTGCTTGAGCTATGGAAGATTTCTCATCCTTTTTTCCCTTCGTCCCTAGACTGCAAATGTCGATATGGCAGATGGTAAGTGGGAGGTAGGGTATAGTCTGGCTTAAGGGAAAAGTTCAAGTCCCACTGAATCCACCTCTAGCTCTGTGTCCCTGAGCAAATGATATCTCCCAGTGCTAATACTGGTAATAATGATGATGATGACACTGACAACAATAATGATATCATAATGATGGTGATAATACCTAACATCTAAATGGTATTTATCATCGTGACAGGTATTGTTATGAACATTTTACACATGGAAAACACAGAGGGTAAGGCACAGCGAGGCTAAGAAAGTTGTCCAAGATCACATAGACAGTAAGTAGAAGTGAGATTTCAAACAAATTATTTTGGCCCCAGAGTCCACACTATAGGATAGAAGTTCTCAAATTTTTTGGTCCCAGGACTCCTAGATAATCTTTAAAATATTGATGCCACTGAGGCGAGAATGTTTTAAAATATTTGTTTATTAACTTATTTAAAAATAAAAACAATCCCATTGCTTAATATATTTTAATAAAAATATTTTGTGAAAAATATTTTCCACATGCATATACCAAAAACAGCGAGAAAAGTGGCACCTTTTTTTATTATTGAATATCTATTATTTGCCTTAAAATCAGACAGCTGAAGCCTTCTGTTTCAGCATTCAATCTGTTGAGGTATGTTGTTGTAGTTGAAGAAAATCTGGCTTCACACAGTTGGAAAAGGGAAGGGTTTTTAACAGTCTTTCAGATAATTTAGGATATTCTTCTTTGATACTACACCAAAATTCGATAGGTGGTAGTTTCTTGAAGGTTGGTTGCAAAGTGAAATCTGAAATCACATCAATAAACTTTTCATAATCTATTACATTATAATGGATTGATCTATCTTGTACTTTAAATGGTTATTCTACCTACATATGACTTTGTAACATCATGCGTTGCCCATTTAGAAAACATTGGTTTACTGAGTTATGCTCATTTTCAAAATGCAGACACCCTCACTTATCTA